GATTTATATTTATTTTATTTTATTATATTTAATTATATATATTAATTTTCTTCACAATTTTTTTATAAGTTACAAGAAATGTTTGTGAGGTGATATATTTGTATGTACAAATATATTATACATACATTTTTATTTTAGTTTTTGTGTTTATAATGTTGTAAAAATAAAGAACAGTATTTTTTTTTTTTAAATTAAAAGATTTGTGATATTAATTCTTTATATAACAAAAGATAAATATTCAAATTCTGTAAAGGTCAGGAAATCCAATTGACCATGCTAATATGCACTAGCTATAAGCAACAATGGCAGAAAATGTATATGTTTCTTTAATATACTACAAAAAGTAAAATGTAAACAAATTTTATCGAAAAAATCATAAAATTATTTTTAATAAAAGTATTTTATAATAAAACATAACTTTGGTTAAAAAATAATAAAACTATGACTATAAAATAAAAGTAATAAATTACCATACAGTAATTATATTTAACTAATTTATTAGTTATGACTACTTGTATATACCTATTTTATTTTATTTTTTCTTCAGTAGACATTAGATATTGATCAATGTTTTAATAAATATTAGATATTAGGTATTAGATATTAACCTAGTAATCTCTGATTTTTTTTTACAGGTTGCTGCAATGAAGTACATTAAAAGCGATTTAAATGACAATGGGCTGAAACACATCAATAATTAATATCTATACAAATCTGTCATATATTTTCAGTCATAGGTAAAAATTATAATAAAATATTTTATCAAATAACAATATTTCTTTCTACTTTTTTCTTAAAGAGAGAGATCTGTTTATATATACATATACAGTAGTTTTAAGTTTAGCATGCTTTTTTGTGTGCCAGACATGGCAGCAATAGAAGAAAAGAAGCGAGTGGGTGGCTCCAAAGTGTCAGCTATCGCAACCATCTTCCAATCGAAGCCGCAATTAGACAATCTGAGCCACAGAACAAATATTTTGTCAGATGGGTTTAAGGAGCCAACTGTTCCATTGAAAGAATCTCCAACGCAAGTGACAGTGGTTAGGACTGAGAGCCATGTGGCACGTTTTAACAACGCTCGAGCTCTTTTTGAGAAACTTGGCGAGGAAAACAAATCAAATAAACCGTAAGTGAACACTTTAAATTATATAATTTTTAAATATAAATTCACTTTTTAGTTAATTATTAATAAAATAAAATATTATTTGTGTATGTTTGTGCATATTTGTTTTTTATATTAAAGAAAAGAAAAAAGGAAAAAAGAAAAGTTAGAGTCATGTTTAATTCATATAGAGTGGACCGAATGACGAAGCCAAACAATCTACACGGTCTACGATCTCGCTCTAGTTCCGCAAACTCAGGTTCTGGGTGTACATCGCCCACAAGATCACCCCGTCCTCGTTCACCATCTCCTCCTGGTAGCCGTGAACATCTGAGCACGTGGAGCGCAAGCGTACCGGCTCTAAATGCCGAACGCCATTTTGAGAATGGTCACTGCGCACCAGAGCGACGATCTGGTCTGGGTAAAGTTGATCGGACGTTCGGAAAAGAAAACGATCGTCCGGAGCGACCGGAAAAACCGGAACGTCGACCAAACTCGAAAGAATTAATTGAGAAGCAGCGGAACTGGACCAGCCACTTCTCAAAAACTAGACCAAGTCGCTATAATTCCGATCCGAATCGTTCATTGGTCCAGACATCTTTGAATTCACAGAATGCTCAGAACCAGATTCAGTCATCTTCTGTCGACATGTGCCAAAGCTCAGCGAGCCCAACGACCAACGATTCCGTGAATCCAGCTACGAGATCAGCAAGTTTCTGTTCAGTACGCTCGCCTCCGCCACCACTTCCACCTGTCAGGAACTCGTCCGCAGCCGGCAGAAAAGAACGACCAGCGAGTATCGCCTCCGTCAGCCCATCCGAGTTGCTGGAAAGCCCAGAATATGCAACGGTGGAAAGATTTGACGACATCTCTCCGACGATTCCCGAATACGCCGTTGTGCAGAAAATAAGAAAATCTCAAGATAATCTGAAAGAGAGCCAAGATGCCGACAACGATAAAACTCAAAATGTTGAGTTGCCAGAATACGCTGTTGTGCAGAAGAACGTTTCATCAAAGATGATTTTGAAATCAACGGAAAACGCTAAAGAGATTTCAAAAATTACTACGCAAAATTTGAAAAATACAGTAGCTGCAGAGCCAACAGCTCTAGGAAACAAAATCGTGATTTCCAAGCCAACAGACGATGTTGACGACATTTCTAAAGCTGTGCAGATTCTAAAGAGTCCGACAGTTTTGGAAGCAATTTCAGGAAGCAAAATTGGAGTTTCAGTGGAGGTTAACAAGGAGATTTCTAAATCTTCTGTACAGAATTTAAAGGGTTCATCAATTGCAGAAGAAGTTTCAGGATGTAAAAGTGCAGTTTTGAGATCAGCAGAGAATTTAAAGGAAACTTTAAAAAATTTTACTGGAGAAGGAGTTCCAGTAGTCAAATCTACAATTTCTAAGTTAACAGACGACTCGAAGAGTGAAATTAAGGAAGTCTCAAAAGAAATTAAGATTTTAACAACCGCGGATGAATCATCAGGTTCTAAGACTATTATTGCGAACGAGAGTAATGACTTTTCTGAGCAAACGAAAGCGGCGCCAGTGTTGCACTGCGATATCTCTAGTCCAACTCGAAATGCTCCGACGGAAAATATCTTGGTAAGAAGGGAGAGCGATTTGTTGGAGGCGCCCGAATACTTCAACTGTCCTCCAAGCCCGATTCACTCGCCGGCAAAGACTTCCCAATGGAGAAATGAATGGCTGGCGAAGAACGACGAAATTCTGAAGAGAACCGTGGATTTGAGGGATTTAAAACCTTCGTCGAAGGAAGCTTTGGAGACAGAATCACGCAACGAAGTGATTAGGTCAGATCCGAGACCCGACTGGGCCAGACCAAACGCAAAGAGAAAAGAGTCCACAACAGTGGACGACAAGAAGATCGAGTCGATACGCTCTCCAGAATCCGAAGCGGGTCTGCCTTCCGCGGGTACTGATAGCGCCTCATCCAGTATGAGTTCTCCCAGTTCGCCCTCTAAAGACAGTAAGGAAGAGAAGGCTGAAAAGGAGATGTCGGAAAAACATCAAACAGGTAAGTTATTGGATTCTCGTGCAAACATAGAAAATGTGAGATCAAAATTTGTAATTTTTGATAAACAATTTATAATTAATTTTATATGTCGTTCTTTTAAATTTCTATTTGCATTTATTTATCCTATTTGAAGATTAATGAGGTTGATAGTTGGTTTTAAAAATAAAACTTGTACATTTTTGCAAAAACTAGGTGACTTCTACAGTCGTGAGCTGGGATGGCAGTGTGCCAAAGTGCTAAAAAGTAAAAGTACCAGACGTAACCCCCTCTCCCTTCTTTTTCCTATTCTCTTTTCCTTACTCTACTCTGCCTCCTCTTACTAACATGTATTATTTATAGAAATCACTGTATGGCTTGTCCAACGGCCAAATGTTCGTGCCTCGTCACGTTTACTTTATAAAGTGTCTGAAACATTTTACAAAATTTAAAAATTTGAAAATTATCAATGTTGTGTTTCAGTTTTAATCGACGCAGTGATTTCTATATGACAGTTTAACGTTACGAGTTATAATGCATTTTATAAACGTGAAAAGAACAAGTTTGTAAAGTAGTTTGATATATGCGTAAAGATGAAATAAATGTTTGAGGAGATAATAAAAACTTCCAATTTACTGAAAAATACATTCATAAGAAAGATAGGGAGAAAAGAGATAGTGTCTTTGATTGAATTAATAACTTGTTAAAATTTGTATGCAACTCTACAAGTATAGAATTTTTCAAATCTATTGTTTTTTAGAATATCTACTAGAGACTATCCATACTATATTAGTGCATGAAATGTTGTGCTATATTTTATATAATTAAAATTATTATACTTAATAGAACTCTACGTGCTTCAAAGAAAAACATTAAATTATGTGTTTGCGGTTACTTTGCATTGATTGTAAAGGTACTTTGGAGACGTATTAGTTCAATAAAAATTTTTTTTATTTTAACGTATAAAAAAAACATTAATTTCGATATTTTTAACTTAAGAATTTATTTTTTTATATTCAGGTCGTAATAGCTATGACTTGGAAATGGAAGACCAGGAGAAGTCAGCTACAGCTACATACCAGAGCTGCATTTCGGATACAGAGAGTCCGCCTGAAAGAGATCAATTCAAATTCAACGAAACAGATACAACTACGGTCATTCGACGTTCTCATGTGCGTCTCGATCTTCAAGCCGCTGGTTTAGGTCCACGTCCACCTTCTGTTATTAGTTCCGATCAAGAATATCCTCCTCTTGAACACAAGGATATTCCCGTACCCTCTCCGTATGATAAAAAGCAGCAACATGGCGAAGAAATTGTTTTGCAGTGTAATATTGAGCGCAAAATTCAATCAAAGCCAAGTACGGAGACAAAAACTCATAGCAATACTACAGACGCAATAAAAAATAATCTTACGGAAACTGCGTTGGAAGGAAAATTGAAGTCCAGCAGCGATGGAGTGTGTCAGAAGATGGTCTCGAATGCAAAAAACGATCAGATTAAGATTAGCGTCAAAGAGAAAATTGCGAAGAACAAGGAAGAGGTCTCCGGTAAGCGTTCCAGTTTTGTTGAAAGTGAAAATAAGATTGACAGTGCTGACAAAACGACTCGTAGCCAGGAGATGAACAGTTTCAGTTTAATAGCAAAGGAAAGCAAAGACGAAGAAAAATACGTGACAGAAGTGATAAAGTCTGAAGTCAGCAACAGGAAGGAGTGCATCGCGGCGGTGAACAGCGTTCTGAACAAGAAAACGGAGAGTGTGGATCAACCGCAAACAACATGGGAGCAAGAAAAACAGAAAGCTGAACTGGCGAAGCTCAGGTTATCAGAGAATTACAATCAGAACTCCTTGCCGGCGTCTAATGCGCTTTCGCAAAGACAGTCTAGCAAAAAATCTAGTGAATATTCCGAATTGGAGAACAGTCAGATTGAAGACAGTGATTCCAGTGATACGAAAACCATCGTAAATGTGGAGAATGTGACAACGGAAGTGCAGAACAATTCTGTCAGGATTGAGACACCGTCGAAACTCGGTGTGAACAATATCGCTCCTGTAACACCGGATACTATGACTCCGGATGAGGCTGAAAATCTGCTGAGTTCTCGGTGAGCATTTCGAAGAAAAAAAGAGAAGCAACTTTATAGTCAGTGTTAGATTGCACTTGAAATTTTATATAGAAATAACATATATATATATATATATATAACAAGAATATTTTATTTTTTATTATCTGATTTTAGTTATCAGCATTAACAATGATAAAAAAATATATTTTTGGAATGATAATGTTTTTTCAAAGCTGCTTTTATAGATACTTATAACATCTGCATTCTAAAAGCAATTGCATTATTTGTAACATGTTTATATTTAAATGGCACAATATAACAATTCTTTTGCTGCACTTTCGCAGCTTGATATTTGCAAGATTTAATTTGGAAGCTTAATCTTTTTGATAATTTGATAATAATAATTTTTTTCTTTTATGTTTTGATTCTAATACTTTTGTGTTTATTTGAATGCGAATTTGCCGATTGCGCCTTGGTCTCGTACAGCATCTTAGAGAAGAAGATCAGGTGAGTATGTTTGCGATACAAACTTGCGAGATTGATTTGCTCTCAGCTGTTGGTTTTATTAAGTCAAGTGAATGACTCGTAAACGTAAATTAGACAAGGTTCGGCGTTACTGTCGGATGAGGAAGCGCAGGAGATAGCGAGGCTACTGTCTCCCACCGGTGCCGGTGATGCATTAGGTGACGGGATTTCTAATGACAAGGATAAGGAAGGACAGGACAGGGATAGAGACGACCAGGACAACACGCCCGACTGGCTGTCCGATGTCCTGTCTGCTCCTGATTCCAGTCTTATCAATAGCGCCACTCATGATTATAGGTGAACGAGCTTATTTTTTTTTTTTTTTTTTTTTTTTTTTTTTTTTTTTTTTTTTTTTTTTTTGCGCATCTTTTCTCGCGCGTTTTTAAAATGCATTTTTATTTTTATTCTCAATTGTTTCTTGTCTCTAATATATGTATATAATTTTTTTATAAACTCGAGAAGATGTTTAATATGTAATATTTAATTATAAAAAGTGATTGGTGAATTATTATTTAAATTTTTAATATTTTTAAAATTTCGGTTTTTTTTCTCTTATGTATCCTTGCAATTTAAACTTGCATTTATTAAATTCCTGTTTATCTCAGTCTGTCCCATAGATCTCGCAGCGATCTGACAATAGATTCATTAACGGAAAGTCAAGTAGGATCAGTAACAGGAAGCGAAAGCGGACTTCTAGGCTCCGTCAGTAGTTTGAATGACACTCACGAAGTCAATGACGATACCGAAACCGAGCATCAAGACGATTACATTCCGACTCCAGGAAAAATTGTAATATATAACATTCTTGTTTTTCTTTTTTTTTAATTAGAACGTGTTACATCAATAAAACAGAAAGAATGCAGATTTATTGAAGATAAAATAATGTTTTTGTTAGCTAATTCTTTTTATTTATATTAATAGTCTAACTAAAAACTTCTTATAAGCTTAATTTTCACGGTCGTTTTTAGTAAATTTTATAAAAAAATATATATTAATATATATAAAATACATTAATTTTTTATGTACATAATTAGATACTTGTGGAAAATGGCGTGCATTATTTCGAGGATGGTCATTTCTGGATGGAAGTCGCAGGAATCCCAGAATCCGATGAGGACGACGAGGAGTATTCATCCAATGTATCTGCTAAGAAGAGCAGCAAAGTATCTTTTGATACCGGTCCTATGCGCGTTTATTCCACACATTCAGTCAACGAATACGACCGTCGCAACGAAGATGTCGATCCCGTGGCAGCTAGCGCGGAATACGAGCTGGAAAAACGTGTTGAAAAGATGGAGGTAATTCTTCCTGAATAACATTAAGATCCAATTATATTTGAAAAAAAAACAAGTTATCAAATATAAAATCATTTAATTTCAAATCGTCGCTGACTTCAATTTTTGTTTTTGGAAAATGAATAAGTGCAGAGCAGAAATTTTAGATGTGATGGACATACACATATATGTAAATCTCTAGGTTTTTCCAGTAGAGCTGATGAAGGGTCCGGAAGGTTTGGGTCTCAGTATAATCGGAATGGGAGTTGGTGCGGATGCGGGCCTGGAGAAATTGGGTATTTTCGTAAAGACTATTACAGAAAAAGGTGCAGCTGCGCGTGAGGGTCGAATCCAAGTGAACGACCAAATTGTCGAGGTTGACGGCAAGAGTCTGGTCGGTGTAACGCAGGCTTACGCAGCGAGCGTGCTAAGAAACACTTCCGGTCTTGTGCGATTTGTCATTGGCAGAGAAAAAGATCCTAAAAATTCGGAAGTGGCAATGTTAATTAGGCAGAGTCTCCAGGCGGATAAGGAAAGAGAGCTGGCTAATGCTGCCAACAGGCAAGTATCGTTTTTGTATAATAATATTAAGATTAAAGAAACTCTATAAAGGTTTTCAATATTTTATTTTGCTGCGTTCCTAATGATGATTATTATCCTTGCTCGCTAAAATAACGTGACGAAAATTTCATGGCCATTCCAACGAGAGCCTGAGGCACCTTGGAATGCTGAGGGAATCATAGTTTTTACAATGAGTTTAATCTCTTATTGTCGCAAGCAATATTTTAAGAAACACTACTCATTGTTCGTAAACAGAAAGCTCAACTTCTCCGATGCTTCTCCCGATAGTCAACGAGGAAACGAGGATATTTCCATCGGCAGCGGAATGGGCGGAATCCCCGGTTCGCCGGCTATGTCCTCCTGCTCAGAAGGAGAACCACCTCATAGTCCCATCGAGAATTACCTGTCTCCTTCCAGTCGTAGTCGATCTCCGATACTTAGCTCGTCTGTGCCACAACACAATACTACCACGCAAAGCGATGTGGACAGTCTAAGATTGCTTTTGCAAGAAGTATGAGATGTTTTACGTGTATTTATATTTTTTTTGTGTTTCACAATATTTAGAATATATATTCCTTTACTTTCTTTCATTTGTCAAAATAATTTCAATTTTGTTTAACAAAAACTTACTTCATTTGTTTATTTATGTGTTACATACGTTGTGTGTCAAAGTGTTTGTTAGTTTTGTAAATAGTCATCAACTGTGATATTACACTAATTATTTTTTTCACGATACATATAGCATAACTTTTGTATATATTTTTTGTGTACATGTGTACATTATGAAAATACGCACATATGTACATGTCACGCAAATTTATTACAATTGCACAGTATTTTATCAATTGTTTTTGTTTTGTTTTGCTTATGCACTATGCGTGTCGTTGCTTGCAGAGTCAGTATAAACTTACATTAGCGAACGAAGAAGTTGAAAAACTCAAAGCGAAGGTAATGTAATATCATAATATAGTTTTTAAATAAAATGACAACTAAAAATAAAAGATTATATTATATAATTTAAAAAATTATTTAAATAATTACAATTCCTTAATAGGAAGATGTTAACATAACATAAAAAAACTTAAAGTATGATGTAAAATAATATAAAAAAACACTAAAAATATTGGTATTTGTTTGCGCTTTTCATCTATGTTTATATTTTAACATGCTTTATTTAGTCTATGGAGATTTTTTTGCTATTCTCTTGCATGTGTTGTATGTAAAATAGATAAAATCGTGTGTGTATATTTATAATATTATCGCTCATTTATTATATTATATTACAAATATTTAATGAATTATATTATAATTCATTATAATTATTATAATGAATTATGACAAAAGTTCTCATTGTTATCTTTTATTCTTTTGTATAACGTAATCTATAATTTTATGTGTTAATTTTACTCTATCATATTTCTATATCACAATTTTCATATTACATATGAATGAATTAACAGCTAGTGGAACTGGAAAACAGTGGAGCGGGCAGCGAAGAGTACGCGGCCAAATTGCGAGAATCGGGATTGCGTCTTCATGAATCGGAAAGAGCGTTGGGCACTGCTCGTCAAGATCTGTCAGCAGCAAGGGAGATGCTGTCTCAGGCAACAACGCAGAACGCGGCTCTTCAGCAGAAGTACGCTAGAGCTAGAAGAGCCGCCAGAGAGTTGCGAGCGGATATAGCAGCTAGAGACGAGTTCTATCAGCAGTTACTGCAAGAAAAAGATACAGAATATAACGCGTTAGTTAAAAGTCTCAAAGACAGAGTGCGTATTTCTCAAAGGCTTTAATCAAATAATGCCGGAGAAAATAGATAATTTTGACAGAAGAATTTTATTTCAGGTGATTACACTGGAGGTAGAGTTGACGGAAACGCAAAGGCGGTTCGGTCTGCCCGTGCGATTGCCCTACGACAATGCCACTGCCAGAATAGCGACACCGCAACTTTCTCGCAGGCAACTGCCGCCACCTCCTTCGTCGACCAGCTGTCAGCTCTCCGATACAGAAACTTCTGATCTCAGTAGTCCGGACGACGGTGATAAGACTGCGACCGTAGAGAGAAAACTGCCTCTGCCGATGCCAGTGAAGGAGGAATTGGATCGCGCTGTGCCAGCCCATCGTCTACTAGACAATTCCGCTGGTAAAAGCAAAGCGGAGTTGGCTAGCAGAGGTGGTTTGGCTAATCGACAGTTGCCCAAACGATCCGGTGGGCTCAGCAACAGTAGTTCATCGGTGTGTTGTTGATCTCTTATATAAATTTATTAAAATTTATAATTTCAATTTTGGCGTATAATATTGGATCTTATTAAACCTGATTTTAGGACTACGGATTGGATGAGTCCGGAGATAACACGGATGACGATTCCTCCTCAAAGCTTACCTCGCAGGACAACAGTAGCAGGTCGCCCAACGATTTAACGTCCAGGCAATCCAATCTGAGTTCCTATTCCAGCACTTCATCCATCAGCTCACTCAAAAGTAAGTCACACATGGATCCCATACATCCTACCGCAATTCGACAGCACAGCACCATCAGCTCGCAAGTCAGGGCAATGACCGAACAGAGCTGGCCTCAGTCGCAAAAAAGTATGCATTTACTTTTTACTTTAAATGTGTCGTTTAATTTTTATTTCTTCGATGCTTTCAGAAAAAAAATATCAAAATTTCTCTTTGTAGCTTTAAGCGGACCTCCCGCGTCATTAGCGGAACAATTGAAACAAGTTTTAGCAGAAAGAGAAAAAAGACTTGGTGGAAATGATTCTTCGCGAGAGAGCTCCGGAGACTTCACTGATCTCAACAATCCTCATAATAACGATCCCACTATGGTGACGCATCATCTTGTTGAAGAAATACGACAGGCTGTTAATGAGGCTAATCAAAGAGGTAAGTAGAAATACGAATTCGAAATCAAACTCACTTGCGACAGTGACAAAAATCCGATTTTGATGTAAATATTCTGTTTCTGTATCCAGCGAAAAAGGTGTCGATTCCTCCGTCAAATTTGATTACCGGTGGAGGAGCTCCTTGGCATCATCCAGGAAGTTCTCCTTCAAGCTTATCCTCCGGCGGTTCTGTGAGTCCTCCTGGCGTTGATCCTAGTCCTTCGAAAGCTGGTATTACAGGTATTATTTCAGAATTTTACATATTTAATACGATATTTAATACGATATTTACTTCGATCACTCAGTCAGGAAAACAAATAATTTAAATTTAATGTTTTTTTTTCTAATTGTCCCCTATATCATAATGCTTTATATTTAAGTATATCTGGTTTATTTTTGTAGCTTTTTGAAATGCATGTGTGTGTGTGATTTGCTTTAAAATATATATTTTTTATAAATCTTAACTTTTACTAACAACATTAATGAGATGACAAAACTATTGCTAATTAAATATCAAAGGTGTGAACATTTAAAACATATTTAATAACTTTTACTGATAGAGTGATTATTGCTCTAGAGTGATAAGATTTCACTACATCGTACTTACTTTCCGTAATGCATGCCTTACAAACATAGATTCGAGCACAGTTTGGTTGCCCGCTCACCTAAGCGACTTTGGTTTAGGTGACAAGAAATCTCATTTTTGGCAAAATGCACCGGTCACAGATTGGTCTAAAGAGCAAGTGAGTATTTAATTGATTTTTTGTTTCTTTTAAGAGAATCTTTACAATTGAATATTTATTTTTCCACAAACGTCTTAAACTTAGATTGTCAAAAGCTTGGTAAAACTTCATCTCTCTCTCTCTCTCAGTATAATTTTAATTATTGTATAATTTCTCTCTTTCATTTCTGCTATTGTCAATGATGTTTGTATTTTTATACTTCTAAAGAAAGGAATATTGTCACTCTAGGTTTGCCAGTGGTTAGCGGGAATTGGTTTAGAACATTACTCTCCTCAATTTTTGGATAGTGGCATCAACGGAAGTAATCTGTTACGCTTAGAGTCGAGAGAGTTGAAGGCTCTCGGGATCTACGGTGACTCAAAGGCTCATCTGAAACGCAAGCTGAAAGAGTTAAGGGCTCAGGCCGATCGCGAGCGCAAAGAACGCAAAGAGATCGAACGAATGCGGCGAAAAGCGGAAAAAGCCGCACGGAAAAAGTAGCATGCGAACGCACTAGATGCGTTCGATATCGATTAAATTATCCGAGAAGAATGGTGTGGATCTTCCGGACGCGACTGATATACAGGGTATCTCAAAAGAGGTAAATTTAAGGAGAATGACTTAATGGTGCGGATTTTATATTAAAATCTAAATCGACGGATTACGTTTTATCGAGAAAAAATAAAGAAATATAAAATTTAAATAACGCCGTCCATTTCATACAGGGTGTTGCGTAGAAAGCTGCGTGCTCTTTGAAAAAGTATGTCATCTTCGTCGAGCAGTCATATTCATTAAAAGAGAATTTTATTCTATTTATTATTCTCGAAACTACTTGAAAAAATTAATGTAAAATAATTAAAACATTCAAGTGATTCTAAGAAATATTATGATGTTTTTACTGTTATTTATTATTAGGAATTAATTACAAAAAGTATTAAATACTTTAGTAACTAATTGTCAATTATTGATAATATATATTTTCTACTTTTAATCATGCTTAATTGTAAGAACAATTAGTTATTAATTTTTGTTAATTTTAATTATTTCCTAATAATAAATTAAAAGTATAAGATTACTTCAAATTATTTATAATTGACATTGTTACAAATTACTTTCTATTAATAATTTAAATTGCCTCTTTTTGAGACACTCGGTATATTCTAGCGTTTTGTTTTTTTAAACTACTCCACTACCATTCAATTGTAATTTGTTTCCTTAAATGATGGCGTATTGCGCCTCTGCATTTATTTGTTATCGCGCCATACTTATTACTTTCACTATTAAGTATTTTTTCTCAGTTAATACTATTTAAAAGTGAGCGCGTGCGTACGTGTGTATGTGTGTATGTATGTGTGTATGCGTATGCGTGTGCGTGTAAAAGTTCAAGCAAAATGATCGCGTTCTAGTTATGCGGTTAGCTCTGCGTTAGCGGCTAATTTGTGCTTTAATAAATTAAAGCCTTACTTTTGTAAGGACAATTGCAGTTGTGAGCTGCTTTTATTACTAGATACAGTATCGAGAACGCGAAAAAGTATGTAATAAAACATGTCTTCAATACAAATGTTTTTAATTTTGCGTACGTATATGATAATTTATTTTTATACGTATATTTATATGCATGGTTTATTTTTTATAAATATATGTATAAAAGTATTGTTTTTTCCTTATTTATTTGTATTATTTGCGTTTAACAACTCTTTTCACGATTAGATACTTTTCAATTAGACATTAATGTAATTGCGTTGTCTCTTTCGATTTTATATAAAATTACGCATCAACGAGAGAAATTAATTACAAATAATAATTATTAATTATCTACAAATTACTCTTGTTAAAAATATATTTCTGATAAATTATCATTAAATTTGACCAAATTTCGAAAATCCTTTTGAATTAAAATTACTACACAAAGAATTGTACTGAGTAAATATAAAAAAAAACTTTATCTCCGTCAAATAATTACAATATTTTACAGTTTATTTTAGTGTGCAAAAACAATAAGTAATTAGAAAAAGATAATAGAAACTGCTAACGTTTCAATAATAAATATCAGTATTATTTAAATTGATTGTTAGAGACAGCGTATGTATTATATATTTGCTCTATAATTATTTCATAATAATTGAAACGGATATGTATATCTCTCCTTGTAATTTGTACATATTTATTCGCTCTAAATCTGCTCAAGCAAATTTTCTTACACTGAGCGTCAACAAATTTGTGTCTTGTTTCCTCAATTCGTTTTCACAAAATTGTCGAACATTTGCAGAAAAAAAGAAAAGAAAAATGGATGTCGCGAGATCAAAGATTTGTAAATTTGAAGACATTCAGAAGTGTCAAACATTCCACAGGAATAGAGCGTAACCTAGCAGCTAAATTGCTTTCTTCTACGAAGAAAAGATTTCGAGCATGCAAAAGGCTGCGAGGTTGAGGACGCAGAATTATGTCGAAGAGGAGAGACGAGCGTACTTCCCTGTACGCATACTTATTTATAATAGCGTTAAACTTCCTTATGCTCCAGTTTGAACATTTCTGAACGTTTTGTCGTGAGCGGCCAGCAATGTTGAGTTCTGGAGTGTGGTGTGTAAATATACATATATGTACTGAGCGATAATTAATAACGACAATTGTAACTGAGACGAGAGTAATGATATGTAAGACGATCAATGTATATGTGTGTGTATACGGGTGCGTGTGTGTGCGCGCGTGTGCGAGTTGCGTGTGTCCGCAGAGCGAGAACAAAAACGACTACCAGTGTCATAATGTTACTTTACAAAGCATGATCCCTTCTTGATCGTAAATCCCTAATGAAAGTCCTCCACTACTGCGACACGCACTTGTTTTTATTGTTTCATTCACAACGAACTGTGAGAATGAATCGCCCATATTTCTTACGAGAATTGTTAACATGTTAGTTATTGGCACACAATGTCAATAGAATTGTCTCACTCCACTTCCCCTAATCCGAAATGAAATTTCACGTTTACTTCTTTCAATACTTCCCTCGCTAAGGATCTTGAGATTCGAATTTTTCTCGGCATTGGAAATAGAGATTCTGGAATATTGGAACTTCAAGAAAGCGGACTTCATTGTTAAATGTTGTGAATTATTGGATCGATTTTGAATTCTTGGATCTCGGGAATCCTTAGAGGTACGAATTCTTCAACTTTTAAATCCTTGCAATCTTCTTGAGTCGTAATCCTTTATCTTAAAATTTCATAAACTATCGATTTTTTAGAATGTTTTAATTGCTGTTCTAGATTGTTTTATCATGTTATATCTTGTGATCCTCTTCAAGTTCTGGAGGTCCTCATATTAATGTATCCTCGTCCCTTAAGAACAGACCTTTCATGAAACCTGACTGATTTATTATAAGTTTTATAGCCGATTTTCAACGAATCACTTAGCCACGTAATTTTGAGAAGCGCCTCGTACACGATCCGATTAATTGCAAAAACGAATAGTAAAGCTCTTTTCTTGCGTAATAATTTAATAATCTGTAGCGATTTTGAAAAAGTAGAACATTGTAGTTCAGCATGTTGTTAAGATTCACGATTGATTGTGAACTAATATATTTTATTTTTCATTTCACAAATATTTTGAATTTTGAAACTTTTTTTGATAACCAATCGCGTAGTTTTACTATTGCTTTTACCGGATCGTGTGTGATTTGAGTCATGTACATGTTTCTATTGATTTTGAGATTATTGCTCAGAAAATAAAAAAAGAGAAATCGATCGAAACGATGGAAATAGTAAGCGATAAGAGTGATAGTGATGATGGCAATGATGAAGGTATATGCAAAATGGCAGCTTTTTAATATGTCAAAAAGTATTGTCAACAAATACTCTTAAACGTTTTAATTAAAAGTAATTCGTACGATATATAAGATCACAAAGTTTTAAGTCTGTTTTTTTACTCTTTACCTGCTTCTTGGTTGCTTGGATACAATTGTGTAATCAATATATTTTATAGCGTTCAGTTATATCAATATATAACTGAATAGATAGGTAGTGAGGTTCCATTTATAAAGACATAAAATAAGTTGAATTAACCGAAAATTATACGAGAAACTTTAAACTTCGATAATTATGCCTGCAATAATTATAAAGGATTATCAGTGGCGACAGACAGAAAAAAAAATTATCATTTACGTGCCACTGAAAGGCTGTCCTAAAAATGTGGATTTATTTGTCATGGACAATTACGTAAAGGTATATACAATCCTTTCTTATAACTGTTAAAACAAAATGTTTTCAAGCTCATATATCACATACATGTTGTAGATTAGCTTTCCGCCTTTTCTTTTGGAATTGTTTCTCTGGGGAAATGTACTTGAAGAAGAAAGCAAATGTACTTTAGCAGATACCGAAGCTATTTTCTCTTTACAAAAAGCGATTATTGCTTCCGATTGGCCAAGTCTTGAGATGGAAAGCATTAGCAAAGAGAAAAAACATGATCATAGAAATCGAATTTTAGAAAAGATGCAAAATGTTTTGGAAAGTCGCGCAAAATCTAAAAGTGGTGAGGTTTGTGATTGATATTGTTTTGTAAGAAGAAAATATTGAATATAAATTAATAAAATTAATTTTTTTTTGTTCACTTTGTAATTAATTAATAAACGCTAACACACATGGTATGGGAATTATCGCATTTTAGAAAAACGTGAACTATTGCAAAAAGAAGCGGTAAAAGTGCAGATTAATTTGGATACCAATACATTAAATAAAATAGAATCCTTGAGAGATTCAAATCGAAAAGCTGCAATGCAAAACTTCGAAGAATGGCGGTCGAAAGCAGAAGAACCAATATTTCAAAATATCTGTGGGAAAGTACAAAAGAATAGAAAAGAGTACAGGTATCGTAAACAAATATATTGATAAACATGAGATAAGAATATGTAGAAAAGTTTTTGTTTTGAAAAAATAGGTCTGATTGGATATTTAATCAAAAAACTTTTTCAAAAGGCCTGCACTTAAGTGGTTTAAAGATGAACTCGGTATCTTAAAATCTTATGAAATCGACACAAAAAACTTAAATAAAAACATAGAAGAAAACCGACATGAAAATTCAATTAAAAAATTAAAAAAAGAATCAAGTGACAAAAATCTAAACAAAGAATTAATTGTTGAAAATATGAAAGAAGAGTCAAATATCGAAAAAACTTTGAAAGAAACTTCGCTTATTGAAAAAAATGTAAAATCAGTATCAAATACTGAAGAAAAACTAAAAACGGAATCAATTGTTAAAGAAAGTCCAAGAAAAGAATCGATTAATAAAGTGAATTTGATAGAAAAGGCAGTTTTTAATAAAAATATACACGAAAGAGTAAATTGTTCAAACGTAAAAAAAAATATTTTAAGCGAGAGTTTTAACTCCGAAGAAACGTTTTGCAATTTCGAAGATTCCGAATCGAATTGCAGTTCAGATTCTGATCAAACGCCTAATAAATCATCAAGTCCTTTAATTAAGGAAATGACGAAAAAATTGTCACGGAAATGTTACTTGACGATGAAGAAAGAGAAGTCCGACCACGATTTAATTGATAGAATATTGAAGAATCGATACTCCAGAATGAGCCAAATATTCGATGAACCTGCAAAATCAGTTCCGCTTCCTAGAAGAAATGGAACTATTAATATAACATTTTCTGAGAGGGTCTTTCCTACTCCAGCGAGAGAAAGTGTTTACGCCGAAGAACAAGAAGTATGTTATATATATATGTGTGTGTAAATCTTCTAAATTTCGATGTATTCGATGCACATTATGTAGTTTGTTCTTAATTTATTATCAGTGGCTTGCCAAACAAGCAGAAGCTAGAAGAAAGACTGGATTTGTCGACAAAGATCTTCGTCTTGAAGAGCAAGATCCTCAGTGGTTGAAGGATAAGGGCGAGTACGACGGTTGAATTGCGCTTTCTGTCGTGTACTTTTTATTGATATTATTTAATTGCAATTACTTTTCTGTTACAGCGATTTCTTCAAAGCAGGAAATTATTTAGCCGCTATCAGCGCATATTCTCACGGGATAAAAATCAGCGACAAAATGGCAGCGCTCTATTTGAACAGATCTGCTGCGCATTACGCTATTGGAAATTATTACAGGTGTATTGATGATTGTTCTAAGGTAACAAAAGATCATTTTACGTACAAATATGTTACAAACATTTTCAGAAAAATATACATATAAAAAAATAATCTTCAGGTATTAGAACTGATTGAACCGAAATGCGAAAGTAACAGAGTGTCGCGAGCAAGATGTTATGCTCGTCGAGGTGCTGCGCTTTGTAAATTATCCGCGCCGCAACACGGAATTCCCGAATTGGAAGCTGCTCTCAAGTTAGATCCAACTAACGAAAGTATCAAATCCGATCTCGAAGCCGCTAAACAATACTTTAACATAAAGAACTAAAAAGAAAAGAAAAAATATCGATGAGGTTGGTTTTCTAATACTTTTTATTGTGAAAATTAGAGAATGATCTTTTACATATATAATTATTTATTCTTAATAAATATAAAATATCAAAGATATTTGTCACATATATTCACCAATATTTTTCAGTTTGTACCGATAAGCTCGTGTTATTTTTAGTTTATTAGAAAAAAGAGACAAAGTATTATGTACAAAGAAAATATCACAGACACAAAGCTTTCGATCTACTAACTTACAATCTACTTTTTGTAGGATATATAGGAGAAAGTCTTTAAGTTCTTCAAGATGAAAAAATCTTTGGATTCTGAGATATATAATATATCACTTATATCTGCGCGTGTACCTTGATTGTTCACAAGAACTAAATGCATTAGGAATAATTGGCGGACGAGCCAATTTTTGAGAAATAACAATTCTTTAATTTTAAAAAACAATCTACAAAAAAAGCTATTTTTCAGAAAATTCTTGTTTAAAGCTTGGAATTCTTCAGAGAAGTGGCTAGGACTTTGTCGATACAGGCACATTTGATGTGCTCCGGAGCGTGAATAATTTCGTGATGACGATCCCGTTGTCGATCAATGTTATGCCTGACCATAAAGACAAGACTGATATTTCTGATTTCGGTCGGAGCGCAAATCTGTTTAGGCTCAGGACAGCATCCCGAGCCCGCGCAACGCGCTAAAACTGTGGATGCAGGATAAAAGATTTCGTCAGGTCCTAGGCCTACAGTTAGAAGATCTTCTATTGGTACAGCCCTCGGCTGGGGCACGGAGCATGGAAATTGGTGCACTCTTTGCACATGGTTTAGAAAACCACTGTCTCTATATTGAAACAAGAACGTTTCGATATAAATTGCAAACATAAAGTGAAATTAGAGAAGAAGAAATAATAATTTGAAAAAGAATGAGAACAAAAGTAATTTAAAACAGAAAGAATTGAGAAGAAATTGAAGAAATAAAAAGCAATAAAACGTAAACGAATTAGAAGGATAATTCGATAAATAATATGTTTGTAAAAACGTAAAGAAAAAATAATTATCTTACCTGTGATGCCTACCAATGACGGCTAATGCGAATTGAATGTAGATTATCAATAACAAAAGGTTCTTCATCGTCATGGTGTAATTCGTGAAACAAAGTCTTTAAATCTGAGTTTGAAAAAAATCCTTATTTCGAATTAACAATCTCGGACACTTTAACTCAGGTAATTTTTGCACTTCTATAATCTCTTTTTTTATAATCTACTTAGTNTTTTTTTTTTTTTTTTTTTTTTTTTTTTTTTTTTTTTTTTTTTNNTNTTTTNTTTCAGCCAACACTTTATGTTCAATTCAATTATTTTATATTTATTTTTTCTTTGCGACTTTAAAGATATTCAATTAATTCTTTCGCAAGATAACTTATTTCGTGTTTTTTGTAACAACTACTATTCGAACATGTCCGTTACAACTGTCGTCGAGTTCTGTGCGATCTGAAGTCTTTCGTTTTGTGTATATACATAACTTCTATCCAAGCTGTTCCCTCACTCTCGTATTCCCTTCTCCGATCTCTTCTTTCTCGTTCCAACCTGTGTTTCGATTTCTCTTTGCTCGTAGGATTCCCGGTAAGAGAAAGAGGTTTGAAGAGGGATCGTTTAACCGTTCCAAGAAGCTTCGCGAGATAACTATAATTACTAGGAGCAGCGAGAGAGCGCGATGTTGCATCGCGTGACTCTTCTTCTTGTTCCGTTCTCTTTTTTCTCGCAGCGTTTTCTTCCTTTTTGATTTGTTTGGCCACCTGCTTTTGGCTGTAAGAATCTGAGAAGCACTATAAATTATAAAATAGTATTTTTTGCAATATCTTTCATAAATAAATTTAATCTTATAATTTTTTCTTTTAGAAGTTCTAAAAACTGCGTATTTTTCATTTGTAAAAATGCGAATTGTCACACATGTCACTTTTTACATAATAAAAATTGTTTTAATAAGCAAAAATATTTATATACATATAAATACATTTTACAAGAAAAGTTTGTATCGTAGTTTGGCTGAAGATGATCGCAAAAATATATTCGATCGAAACGTTCCTGTTCATTTGAAGAGCACAAATTGTGTTTTTTTATTGCTTATTACCTCAGCACCACCTATACCTATGGATTACAACGGCTTATTGGTCTCATTGTGTTGTTAAGAAAAGTTCACACCTCTAAATTGCAAAGATGAAAAGAATCTTGATGAAACTAACGATTGTAAACATTTCTTTAGAATAGAAATTATCTAAAATAACGGGTATCGTAGCATGTAATATTGCGTAACACTCGTGAGACTTGCATTAATGTATCAGCGTCTAAGTCGCGTCTAGTCGCGGCAAGTATCCGGTATGCATTCTAAATGCTCCTTTTGTTTCTGTAAAAACCGCAAATTCACCGATAGATGAACAAATTAATTATAGAGGTAAAACTAATTTATAGATGTATAGTATATGATTACAACGCTTGTATGCGTACTATATGTGTAACAATAATTACTTTCGATTATCTTATATAGTAGCTTCTTACAAATTATTGGAACGTAGAAACGTAGAAATAAAGTAATTGTAACTGGAAAACAAGACAAGATATTCTTGGAAATTATATAGTTATTTTTTATTTCACTTTAATTTTTATTTTCACGAGAAAAAATGGATTAGATCTACCTTAAATTTAACGAGATAAAAAAATGGGAAAATAGATCTAATTAGATTCAAATTAAATCTAAATAAAGTAGATCTAAATAAATATAAAGTAGATCTATGTAAATTTACACTTTTATATATTATTAAATCTACTTTAGATCTACTCAGATCTACTATATTAAAACTACTCAGATTTACTTAGATTGAAGCAGATCTGAGATGATCTAATATTATAGATCTGAGTACATCAAAAGTAGATCTAATAATAAATAAAAGTGTAAATTTACATAGATTCACTTATTTCTATTTAGATTTACTTTATATTTATTTAGATCTTTATATCTATTTAGATTTAATTTATAGATTTAATTAGATCTATTTTTCTATTCTTTTATCTCGTTAGATTTAAATTAGATCTAATCCATTTTTTCTCGGGTAGTTTCACTCACTCGATAACTTCCGAAATTTATACATAGTTCAAGGTTTCGCTAATATACATAGTTTAAGTGTTTGCTAATATAGTTCAAACTATATTAGCAAAATTTTCGATGAAAGTTTCAAGATTGTCGTCATTCAGATTGAAGTGATGAAATTAAAATTACGATTAAAATTCCTTGCGAAATCAGGTGAGAATGAGTCAATAAAATCAGAATTCGCACCGTTATGGCAATCCTGTATTTCAAGGATTGAATCATCATCAAGTGATTCATACGCAAAACTTACTTGACTTGTCTAGGAACTACAAAATTGAGACATTTTTTATATCTTTTTATTTTCCTTTAATTATGCTGATTAGTGTTTAGTATCGAACTCTGAGTCATTAATACGTATTAAAATGAATGGCATTCTTAAAAATTTGGATGATCTATTTATTTAGTAATGATCAATTTACAAAGTCGAAATTTTTTAAATCTTTATGAAAAACAAGCTGAAAATGCAAGTTAATAAAACTTAAGGTTTCAAATTATATGTTAATAGTATGTGTTCTGCTCTTTTTTAAGCATTTCTTACTTTCTATTACAAAAAATAGATACGGAAATATCGACCGTAAATTTTGTAATTCTCACACACACAAAACATATCGTAAATATTGAAAACTTACTCAAAGAGACGCTGAGAAGCGTCTCAACATGCGTCACAGAGGATAACGTGAATTGCTAAATAGTGCGTCAGCAAGAAGGAAACCCCCATGGAAAGTATATCCTCAGCTTCCCACCTGCGTCACAACGCTCGGAATAACTGCGCACGGTGTTTAATTCTTTTTTTATAACGATTGCAGCCAGTCGGAAGTCGTTCCGCAATCTTTATCTGTACTTACGTATAATACACATACATAACTACTGCTGTGTTATCTCGTGTGACCAAATTTCTCCAATGATTCGCATGTATTTGATTTATTTGTAGACAATTTTAATTAAATAAAGATATCTCTCTTTTTATAGAGCTCTATTAAAAAATAAAAATTGTATATATATTTGTTTAATTAATATATTTATTTACATACATTTTTTTTAGTTTTTGCAATGTTACGCACAAATTTATACGCACGCGGTTTAGAGCTAACACATTGGATAATAGAACTTGTAATCCTACAATTGCTAAAAAAGATGTTTATGATGAGAAACACCGAAGCGTGTATAATCATTGCATACATATAATTAACCAATAGAAGTTTTTAAAGAAACAATTACAATACTACAGAATTTTTAGGAAACAATTACAATACTACAGAATTGCTAAGAATTATAATTGTTTTGTCATATATCTGACTAGACTTCACTGATTCTACGTAAAATTGTTCAATTAGTGATGTAATTCAGATTCTCCTGTTTACATGTGACATGAGAAGAAAACCTTGACAGAATCTAAAGCCGGTTCCAACTGAGATGACTATTTAATTGCACATCATAGTTACTGCATGCAAAACAAAAAAAAAGCATTTGAAATGCAAATGCATTGCGCACGTTCTCACGTGTACGTACTTATCAGTCTAATTGATACTAAGAAAATATGATCAATAAGTATGAATAAAACTGGTTCAGTCACATTGATCAATTGTCAAACGTGTGGTCCACCCAGAACAACTTATGCTTATGAATCACGGAAGTTGGCAAGTGTGTAAAATATTCAAAGTACAAAAATTGCGAGACAATGATTGCTCTTCGTCATTAAAAACTGCTCGGTCGAGAACAAAATGATTTTTTTTTAGAGCAATATTTACAGTAGACTCTTAATAATAGGATCGACTTGACTATGAATATTGGCCATAGTATGATCATTTGCGTCAAAAAGTCATAATAGATTCTTAAGTGAAGTTAATGTCGCGTGAACGTTACGACGAGAAGAAATGAGATTTCTCTCAATCATCTTACATAGTTTTCTTGAAGAGATATATTACCGCAAAAAAAGAAAATATTGATTTTTAAGCATCATCTTTATCGTCATTAATTATGATGTACTGACATTTTAATAATAATTACGTTTATATTATTCTTTGTGCAATAGGGATTAAGCAGACAACACTGCACGATTGGTTGCACAATAAGTGGAATCATCGCTGAGGACACGCAGAAATCCGGACTTTACGTGCTCTCGTGTGTGAGGCAAGTATGCAAGCTCTTCCATATATAAATACTCGTGTGCCAGTAGGAAAATCTCAGTCGAGCGATACGTATCCGTGGCTCGTCGTACACCTATTGAAATATTCCCGTTCAAAAAGTCAGAAATTCGCCGGTCTCGCCGCGTGATTTCAGCGGTATATTCTCTATAGATAGAGAACAGCAAGAGGAAGAAGAAAGGAAACACTTACACTTCAGCTTATAATTCAGCTTGGAGGAAATCGGTTCCATATGTTTAATTCCGACACAACCCTCGAAAAAAACGACGAAGATCGAATAGAAATATGAGAGAAGAATCTAGCTTCGAAAGCATTTCTAGTTTAAGAAAAATCAATCATAGCAGTAACAGTTTTCTTACTTATTTGTCCTATAAATATCTTCGATTTTTAATCGGTTAATCTGGTGATCTTACAGCACTTTCTGATTCACAAGAAGTTGATAAAATCAAATTTCTATCGACTCGCTGATCAGTAGCGATCAATTTTTTGCGTGTGGCAAAATTGATCTGTTTGGTGTACACCAGTGAATTAGTGTGGCCGATTGTGAAAGACAGTGAAAATAACGATGAAAAGTGGATTGATGAAGAAATCATTTTTGGGATTTTTAATCCTGATTTTGACAACAATGGATCAGACGATGATGGCGAGTCATCACAGTAGACATCATAGGGTATCGAGAAGAACTCATCTGTCGAACGCGATGCAGGCCAGTAGACAGTTCCCTTGCAGCGAGCCGCAAACACGTGCTTACCACTTGAGGGATCTCGTGCAGAATCTGCGTCCCAGCGAGAGCGCTAATCAACCAGCATACATCGTGCTCAAGAGGTGCGACAGCCATTCTGGCTGCTGCCACAGTCCTGATCTCAGTTGCACACCAGTGCAGTCGGAAATCCATTACGAAGAGATCCAGATCGAAGTTTGGAGCCTGCAGACAAACAGCAAACGGAAGATGTGGATTCAAGTCGAGCAGCATGGCAACTGCACTTGTGAAATTAGTAATTCCACTCAAAGACTCGAAATGGACAGTCAGCAACCTAATATACAAATTCCGTCGTCGTGATCTAGCGAAGTGCAATTAACTGATTACTTTGGATTTCGTTGACAAACAATAACGGTACAAAAGAGAATAGTACAGTAACTAAAATTAACTGACTGAGAGAAGAAAGAGAGAAACGATTTTTAAGTGAAACTGTATAAAATTAAGCTCTTCAATATTTCTTGCTTACAATTTCATTTGAATCTTGTTTTTTATCTATGACTATGATGGTAAAAGATAAGACCAAAAAAACAGGGAGAGAGAGAGAGAAAGAAAAAAAGAGAGAACGGTAAAGAATTAAGTTAAACTTTCAAATTGTGCCATTTGCTTTTTTTACGTACTGTTTTTTACATAGTGTTGTACATAGTATTATAAAAAAAATAAAAGTAAAAATATTTTTTGAACAATATAGCTGGAAAAAGAGTGTAAAAAACATTAATTTCTTATAACAAAATATGTAGAGTATATGGTAATTTTTTCTTAGAAATACCATATACTTTATATACATGTAATATATATGTTCAAAAATATTTTAAATAATTCCACAAATATGATGGTAAAAAATATCTTAAATAGGAAAATAATCTTATATGTAAGAAAATGAAATAATTATTGTAATATATTACAAATATGTGTTACCGTATAGATGGTACAAGACTATATTATCGTCCTCATAAAAATGTGATTGCATTTTTAGAAAACATTTAAAAGTTTCTCTTTATGTCATATATTGTGATAAAGAAACCATATCAATATGTGTATATATATATTTGAAACTATATCAATATATATATATATATTTTATATTATTATTTCTTTTTATAATATATTTTCAAAATAGAATCCTGTACAAACGAACGCCAGAGCAATTTCTTTCGCGCGTTTAGCCGTCACGTAAATTTCCACGTTAAACTTTATATAAAAGTAATGACACCGCAAAACAAACAGCCACATTTAGTGCTAAATATAACTTCAGTATATGTATATTCGTTAAAATCCATACGATGCTGTTCGTGCGTTAAACACAAAGCTTATGCTTTGCAACAAAATCCAGATACAGAGGAAAATATAGCTTTATGTGCAATGTAAATAGTTTTTATACATAGAGTGCCATAAAAATGATGACTGCAATGGTCTACGTGAGAAGAAATTTATTTTATACTTTAGTCTGCAACAGTATTCTGATGCTCGTTTTATACATATCTATTTAGATATAATTTTGATAATTGTATCTTCTTTTATACATACGTACGTATGTATACATTGTACAGATAATTTATTTTTTATTATAAATATATAAATTTTCTGAAATATATATAAATTATGAATATACCTATGTACGTATATATGTGTATGTACTGAGCAAATGACCGATAAAAATAGACATATTCCACACACAAAAATTTTAATATTCCTATGTAGCATCTATAATTAGTCTTTCCTCTCAGTTAATTATATTCATAAATGTAATTTAAAAAGTTTTGTACTTTACAATTAATTTATCATTTACTTTGTGAAAATTAAAACACAGAAAGATGTTCAGAAACACTTTTTAGTTATTTTTGTATTATTCTATGCTGTGTGTGTGTGCGTGCGCGCGCTTATGCGTTTTTAGTTTTTGTTAATCTATTCCTTCAATTTTAAAAAAAGTTTTTAAGACTACGATAGCTATATATTATAATTAATAAATTACTTAAAATTTTTTAATTTTCTGAAATAGTTTTCATTTTGTCGTTTAACTCTAAAAAATAACTAGTTTTTTAAATTTAATTATACTTTTATAGCTAAAAAATTCTTAATTTCTAGAACGATTTTATTAAATCGCACGTCTATTTGCCTGTCTATCTATAAAACAGAAATAGTAAAACAATGTGAAATCTTAATTTAGCGCGCAGATATGTGAACAGAACTTGGGTTAATGCCCAACGATAGACGCTATCAATGCCGTGGACACTTCTGCAAAGTTAAAAAAACTCTCATTCAGAGAAAAGTTGATTAAACTTAAGATTAAATTTTCTTTTTTCTCTGATTAGTTAAACTTTAATTCAATTTTAATTCCTGCAATTAGACTTAAAATAGATAGTTTGATACGGATTTGTAATTTGTATGTTATTTTTGTTTGAGCAAACAGTTAAGTCTGTGTATACTTTTTTTAAGTTTGAAAAAAATAAAACTAAATTTTTTTGAGGATCTTTAGTTTGTTAAAAAATAAAATATATATAAACTTTAACTGTAATATGAAAATATATATATGAACTTTAACTGTAAACTTTCTAATGCTTTTTATTATACATACGTATATGCAAACACACACGCATACACACGCGCGCGCGCGTATCATTTAATTATACGTTTTTAAGTTGGAAAATAACAAAACATACAAAATTTGTCTTTGACTTTTTTTTACAAATATAACAAGAAATCTCAAGAATTTTTATGTTCGTGCACTCTTCTTTTATAACTGGTTATTTTATAACTGGTTAGCAAACGAAAAGCAAATGCAAATATTAGAATGGTTGATTGGTCAACGCAATTGTCTAAGTCGCGTTTGTAGTTTGTTCGCTTGTTTTGCGCTCAGTTTACCGAAGAGGAATGTATTATAAACAATTACAAAAGGAAAAAGAGAAAAGTTTTATATATTTTTACGGAAAGTGCTCAGACAATGTTTCTTAAAAAATAGGAAAATATTAATAATGATATTTATGATTAAAATTAGCAAATTAGTTTAAATGGAATTCTATTTAATTGCTTAATATATAAGTCAATAGTAATAGTATCATAGTATGTAGACATGGTATATAGACATAATAAGCTACACAAAAAAAAAGATGTACAAATAAAAAATAGAAATTGTTATGTAAGTTTACGAGTAACGACCGTAAGGGAATTTTGAGCGCATTCGTCGGCCGCGCGTTCCTCGCCCTCGTCCTCCTTCATTGGTAGCTCCCCTAGTTGTCGCATGTCCTCGCATTACAGTTTGTCCTGGTAATAGAAACACTGCATATTGACATTCCTTGCAGAATTACGTATGTATGTTTTTTGTAACATTGATAGAAGCATCGCGTTTATTTATCTATATATATACGTTATCGTTCATTCAATTTTAAAACAACACTTGTACAAAAAAATGTTTACATAAAAATTTAACAATTATATTGAGAAGTAAACCCACATATACATAGAAAATTAATACAAAGAAATACTTTGAATAAAAACCTTGTGCTTAGGAAGAAACGCAAGTAAATTTGTTCTAATAGTAGAAACATAAAAACAAAAAACAACTTCAATAAATCAAATTTTAATCTACTCACCTCTGCCTGATTGACTTTCTCCCCAGACGATTGGTGTAGGTCTCGCGCCTCTTGCAACCCTAAAACTTGTCGATCTCGGCGATCTTCGTACCGTTACTCCTCTGGAATTGTTGGTATCACTCGCCGCTACGCTAGCGCTCATTGCTCTCTGACGAGTATTGCTAGACGGAGACGCTTCCGCTTCACGACTTTCTTCTTCAACTTCGTCTTCGACAAGTTCACTTCCTGCCTCCTCTGTCGCTTCCACTGTATCTACAGTATCATCCTCGCCAGATGTCAAAGCCGGTTCTTCCGTTCGTTTCTGATTGTCTGAACTCACACCTGCAAAAAAGGAAAGCAAGTTGAATTCAACAATTAAGAATTCTCTTTTAAGTTTTTTCTAATAAATATATGTTCTTTTTATTAAATTTTTTAAAAATAATTTGCTTTTTTATAGATTTAATTAAACCTTCACTTGGAGTTGTACTGGATTCTGTGGCTTCGGTTTGGCCGCGTTGCTGTTCATCAGTACCGACAATACGAATGCTGGGAATATTGGATTCTTCGATGGTATCGCCCGATGTGGCGGTAACAGGCGTTACAGACACGTTTGTTTCTTGTTCTTCAGACTGACCACTACTAGTCTGTATGGCAAAGATAAAATTTAATTAGTAATAATTCATATGCAATGATAGGAGCATATGCAGCGAAAAAAATAGAAATTTTGTCTTACCGAAGGTGGCAAATCCGCAGCTGGGGAAACCTGGAGAGGAGTAGTAGGTACACTACGACCAGTTCCACCGTCTTCCAGTTGTGTCAAATCTATTCTACCGTCGTCCAGACTATCCTGCGCTACAGTAGAGCTAGATGAACCGAAGATGGTTCTGCTAACGGAGCCGCTAGGAGTTGTCAAAGACGGTGTCAAAGAAGCTGTCGTAGGCGCTGACGGATCCCCAAAAGTAAAACGGCCTTGAGGTACTTGCGGAGAGCTGACAGCTTCGCCAAAACCGTCGCGACGAGGAACAAACAAGGTAGGCGTGCTTGGTACAATACAGTCATCACCGCCATCTTCGTATCCTTGAGGTGGCTTTTTATGAAGAAAAACAAAGCATTACAAAATGACTAAATTTCATAAAAGTTTACAAATACAAACAAATGTCTTTTAAATACCAACCAGAAGAAGATGCTGCTGTTGTTGCTGCCTAGGCATAGGTGCAATACCCCGAGATCTTGCGGTAAAAGATGTTGGAGGTTCTCCTGTCGGTCCGGCACTGCTGATTGCTTCGGACTGTTGCTGATTTGTAGGTATAGAAGTTTGACCTTGTCTAGGAACTTCGACACTAGTAGAATCTTCCTCCATGATAATTTCTACCTCATTAGTGTCTCGTTCAACTTCGACTTCATAAGTCTCTTCTTCTTCTTCTATTTCTTCGTACGGATCGTTGTCAAATTCTTCCTCTTCTTGAGCCTGATGATTACCGCCACCTTCACCCTCGTCACAATCTACTACTACCACACCTTCTTCTACTTCTTCGTCTTGATCTCGTTGACTTGAGGTTGGCACCTTGATATCAATGTTATTAAATTAATTGAAGAAGTTACATAAGCAAATTAAATAATATTAATTTTGCATTGCACATTTTATTTCCCTATCATACCATTCTCACCTGATACTCCACGTCCGAAACGCTAGCAGTTGCACTGATTTCCTGTCTGCTTCTTTTGGTTTTTGGACTCTGCACCTGTTCCTGACGTCCGTGATCTACTCCTTCTATACTTGATCCGGAAGCAGTCGAGTCCAAGCCTCTAGGTCTTTTAAGTCCTGTCGAAGCTTGAGACGTACTGACTGACTGTGTTGAACTACTTGCTACCGTTTGTTGTTGATCGCTGACGACACCTTGCTGCTGTTGTTGTTGCTGCTCTACCCTAGGACTAACTAACGCTACCGTTTGCTGCTGTTGTTGTTGCTGCTGCTGCTGGCATTGTTGCTGTTGCGGCTGTACGTTAAGTGTTTCAACGTTTTCTGAATCTTCTCTCTGCGTTGATTCAGCCGATTCGCTTAATTGCGGTTGCACCACTAGTTGACGGAGACCACTGGTCTGTGCGCTCTGTGAAGAACTGCTGGTACTCGCTGGTTGAAAATCAGTCAAACTGCTAGTTGGCGAACTAGTTTCCGTGGTATGCACTATCTGCTGCTGTTGTTGCTGCATCTGATGTGGCGCGACCATAACCGGCGCACCAGCTGTAGTAGGTAACACGGCCGCCGTTCTCGATTGTACTACTACACTCATTGGTCTGATACTAGCTAACGGTGTCTCCGCTCTAGCCGACATCGGCTTGATGTTTGCCGTCGGTGGTTCTGTAGTTGCACTGACTCCACTCACTCCCGACAATTGTCTTTGGAGTTGAGTGACCCGTTGTAGAAGAGCGTCCTTCTCCGCCTGCATTTCTGCTTTCTCGTGTTCTAACCTGGATATGCGCCCTTCCATCTGCGATTTCAAAGCCACAAGTCGTGTATCGTGTTCGAGTTCGGAATCATTTGGAACAGTTGAACTTCCTCCTGCGGATTCTTTTCTAGATTTTAAATCTAACAATTCTTTTTCACAAATCTTTTTTGACTCGGTCAACTGCATGATCTTTGTCCGAGCGCCTTTAAGAACCTGTTTTGCTCTTTCTTCTTTCTCTATACTACTGCGATTCAAAGTCTCAATCTCTTTTCTTAGATTATCAGCTTCATTTTGAGCTTCTGTCACTTTTTGAGTTAGCTCATTTACTTTCGTCGTAAGTTCAGTGATTTCTTGGCGAAGTTCTTGGCGACCTTCTTCTCTCAGTTGGTCCTCACGTTCTTGAGTGATTACACCAGAACTTTCTTCGTTTCTTCCTTCCTCATTACGGTTCTTTTCTTCTTCGACAGCTTTTGCAAGTTCCTCAAATTGCGTTTTGTACTTCTTGGCTATTTTACGGATTTGTATTTCCTTATTTTTGATGTCGTTAAGAATAGCTTCTTTGTCACCTAATTCTTTTCTCAGAGAAACCAAGTCTTTTTCCTTAGAAGATGAGTCAGCTAACGCTTCGGTAAGATCTTGACCGAGTTTGCGAGCTTCTTCTGATGTCCGCAACATTTGCTCGTCCTGAGTTTGTATCTGTTTTTGCAACTGTATCAATTGTTCTTCAAGTTTTGTCTTTTCTGTTTTTACTTGATTAAATTCTTCGGTTCTCTTCGCGTGAGTTTCTCTTTCGGACGTCAGCAGTTTACTGAGATTCTCTCTCTCCGTCTGAAGTCGCCGCCAATCTTCAGGGCTTGCTTTATTCGCTCTCTCCAACAACGTATTTGCTCTTTGCCTCCATCTAGTCGCTTCACCTTTCAAGCTCGTGTTTTCTTCCATTAGAGCTTCAGTTTTGGCTGTCAAATCTCTGGATATATCTCGAAGAGGTACCACTTCTTCCGATAGAGCGTTCACTTTAGCTGTAAGTTCGTTAACTTTTGCACTCAGTTGGTCTCTTTCTTCCCTTAAAATTCGGTTGGAATCCGTGATGGCATTCAAAGTTTCCACTTTGCGTAACAGTTCCGCATGTTTGGACGTGGCCATCACATCAATTTCGGCTTTTTCACGTTCAGCATTCAGTATAGCTTCGGTCTCCTTTAATCTCTTCTCCGCCATCTCGGCCTGTGACTTCAATCTAAGATTTTCTGCTCTTAGAACATCAGATTTAGCCATGGCCAAATCTTTCTCTCTTCTTAAATATTTCATAACTCTCAACAGTTGTTCCACTGATTTGGAGTCTTCTTCTAAAGAACTGAAACTCTTATTTAGAGCTTCCAGACTGGTATCAGGACTCTCTCTTCCGCTTATCTTAGTCTGCTGGCTCTGTATGATGGCTATTCGATCGCCTAGTTCCTGAATCTGATTATGAAGAAGCGCATTTTGCGTATCTAGATCTTCAATTCTCTTCTGAGTTTCTTCAATTTCGTTTATGAACCTCTGTTCTTTTTCTTTGGAACCTGATTTTTCGATTTCTAAAGCTTCTACTGCTGCATTCCGTTCTTGAGTCAAAACACTAATCTGTTGTTGGACTTGTTGGGCTTCTTCCTTCAGCTTGGCCAAAATCTAAAGAAATAATTTATATGTAAACGATTTATAAATTTAAAACATTTTTTTATCAATTTATCTATTAAGAGGGTACCGACGCTATAAACCTGTAAACCGAGATTTTGAAGAATCGAAATTTCTCCATATTTACTACATCAAATGAAAAGTACTTCTCCAGAAGTAATTAAATTATGTTAAGATTTGTATGAAGTTATATTAGAGTATCGGAAATGAGAATAAAATTTTTTACAGTTTCCTATTATAATCTAACCATATTTTCATGTTGTAAAATTATTTTTAATCCCTACATATATGCTTTGACCTTACTTCATACAAACGTACGACATAAAAGAATATTATGAAACATTCAGATTATGGTTAGAATGTGTAGGTAACTAGAAAAAGTGATTCTCGTGTTGACAGCATAGGTTATCATATGCTATCATAGGCTGCTTTCCTTTTACAAGACACAGTCGACACAAAAGTCATTCTATCTTCGTTCAGTATTCAGTGAGAAACAAAGACAGAATGACTCTTGTGTCGACTGTGTCTCCTAAAAGGAAAGCAGCCATAGTAAATGAAGGAAAAAAAAAAGCTTAAAAGAGCATTATATATCCATTTTCGAAAGCACTATGTAGTTTTTTATATTTATTTGTTTCTGTAGAAGCACTTTTCATGTAACGCAGTAAAAATAATTCGAAATTAGAGAAATTTAGGTTTCTAAAACGTCGATTTAAAGGTCTCTATAGTCGGTATCCAGTATCGTCTTCTAATCATTGAACTTACCTGCAAATCAGACGAATGCAGCATCATTTCTTTGGTATACTTCTCTTCTGTTTCTTTAGCTGTGATGGAGACAGATTTCAGATCGCTCTTCAATAACTCGAGCTCGCCTTTCAGTTCATCTAACTCCTCAACTTTTCTTTCTGCCTCAGCTAATTTTTGTCTCAGCTCCGAATCGGTCTCGTGCCTACCATTCGACATCTTCGCCAGATCGTCATTCAGTTCTTTCACTTTCTTCTGTAACGCGATGATCTCACTTCGCGAATCCTTTAAAGCTTTTTCTAATTCCTCTTTACATTTATTAGATTCTGCTGTCAGGTCTCTTAGTTGCGATTCAGCGCTATCGGCAATATCGCAGTATTGTTGACACTGCTGTCTGGCTGCTTTTAGTTGTTCAGAGAGCGACTTTGCCTCGGCCTGTGAAGTGCTGAGTTGTATCTCTAATTCTTTCACTCTCTTCACAAGATTATCATCTCCAGTCAAGGGCTTGGTAATGGAATGAGCTGCTGCCTGTCTTAATTTATTGCTTAGTTCATCAATTTTCCGGCTGTGTTGAGTATCAGTTTCTCTCATTTGATCCAGTTCTTTTTTCAATCTTTCGTTCAGTTCAGATTCTTCTTTTAATCTTTCTTGAACAGTTGTCAATTGTCTCTCCAAATGAGCCGACAACTCTCTGAATCGATCTTGTTCCTCTTGAAGACGACGTCGAAGTGCGGCACACTCCCTATTAGCGTCGTCGAGTCTCTGCTCAGCTCGAAGTTGCCCTTCAGCTTGAACTCGTTCTAAACTAGCTTTGATGGATTCCATATCTGCTCTGAGCAAGGCTTGGGTTTGTCTCTCTCTTTGAAAGACTTCACGCTCCTTCAAGAGGCGTCCTTCGGAATCTCGTAAGAGTTGACGTTCCTGACGAAGATTTTCCAATTGAACTTCGGCTCGAGCTAAACGGGTTTGAGCAGAGAGTGTCTCGTCCTTCAGAATCATAATACTCTGCTCGTGCTTACCAATGGTGACGCTGTAATTAGTGCATTTTTCCTCGAGAGCCTTGATCTGAGCTTTGTAAGAAGCAACATTGCCCTGCAAAAGTGTAAATCTTTCGTTCGCCGAATCCAATTGTGCCCTCAACCTGCAACATCTCGCTGAATTTGCTTCCGCTTCTTTTCTGAGTCTATCCACTTCTTCGCTTAGCATCTTTTCATGCGCAGTTCGCTCCTTCCGATATGTTTCATACTCCTCCGAAACTTGTTTGCATTTATCCTCAAGCTCTTTGAGTTTTTGAGACAACTGTTCCTTCTCTCCTCCGTCTTTCGTCGGTTCTTCTGATTTAGATTTATTCTCCTCGATATTATTTTCTCCCTCATCGTTCTTTTTCTTATTAGAATTCTTTAAAATCTGCTGATACATATTTTTATACATATCTCTTTGCTTCAAAAGATTATCCAGCATCTTTGACTGTCTATCCTGTGCAGCCTGCATTTCTGTCAATTGCTCCATATAACGGTCCAGTTTCTCTTTCATCTCGCCTGAGTGTATCTCATCAGTAGCACGCTCGATCTCTTCCTGTCTACTCGATAACGCGCGAACGACTGCCAAGAGTTTCTGGTTGTTTTCTTGTAGCTCTTCAATATCCCTGAAAGTTACTAATTTTTTGCTGATAATTTGCGATGATAAAATATCGTCCATTTCTACTGAGGAAGACAAGTCCTTGGTTTCTACAAGAGTACCGGTGCGACTTTCTTGAACTTCTTTAAGGAGATAACACACCTATAAACATGCAACAAGTAATATTATTAAAATTATTATAAATCAATAATAAATATAACATATAATAATAAATATAATATATAGTATAATAAATAATAAACATTACGTTCAATAATAAACATTACGTTAATATTAAATTACGTAAATTTATCATTCTATTTTATATAAAAATTTTATTTTGTTCAGAATGCACACAGAGAAGACTGAAAATGGCCATCCTATTGTAGTTTCTTATGACGGTTTTAGTGCCATATCTACAAAAGTGGATCTCAAAGGCTGTTCTATATTAAACGCAAGTCGTAGGTCTCGTGGAATTGATCAATCACGTTGGTCAATTGGCTGATTTGACTATGCGATTAGTTGATTCCACGAGACCTGCGACTTGCATTTAATGTAGAACGGTCTTTGAGATCCATTTTTGTGGATATGGCTAAAACCAGCGGCTGAAACCGTCGTAAGAAACTACAATAAGATGGTCGCTTTCAGTTTTCTCTCTGGTGCATATAATCCGTATATTAGCTTACCTGTCTAGCCAAATCAGCAAGTTCAGTTTTTAATCTCTGATTTTCGGTAGAATGATGTTTGGCAATACGGTTGGCTTCATCAGAACTTTCATTGAGACGTTGATTTTCTTGAAGAAGTTCATCCAATCTAGAAGTCAGTGTTTCTACGTTCATCATGGCTGTCTCGTAATCCCGACGTTGTTGCTGTAGCAATGGCGCTCTTTCTTCCAGTTCGCGAAGAATGCGATCCATCTCGGCCTTCAAATGTTCATTCTCTTCTCGTTGCAAAGTACATTCATTGGTAATTTCGACAAGCTGAGTGTAAATCTGTGTGAGGCTAAGACCTTTTCTTAATACTCGGCTTGTTATAGCTGCTGTGGGCGCCAATTGTTCCACAGCTTGGTCTAATTTTTCTATAAAAAAAATCGAAGAAACATTTAATATAAAAATTGTTTTAATACAAAATGTTCTTTGAAATAAAAATTTTTCTAAATTAAATATATCTATTTATTAATAACAAAAAAAGAAATTTGCGATTTACCTTGTTGAATGGTTTTCAACAATTCATTTGCATGTTCCAGCTCTTTTGTCAGCTCTTGAACTTTCTGTTCCTTCTCTTCAATTTCTTGTTTATGTTGAAGTAACAATTGATTGTACTTTGTTTCTAAATTACCATATTCTTCTGCAGTGCTGTCCACAAGTTTCTGCAGCTCACTTGCCGCATTGGAGAGTTCTTCAGCTTTTGCGTTAGCATCATCTTTCATGGATTCGTACAAACTGGCTAGATTTTTCTGTGCGTTAATTTCTTTTTGATAAGAATCATTTATGGCAATTTCATGAGCTCGTTGCTGTTCCACTTTTTGAGCTAATTCGTCACATTGCTTTTGAAGAGAAGAAACTGATTCTCGTAGTTGGGAATTAGTTTCATTGGCTATGCGCAGCTCTTCTTCACGTTGAGATAATTTAGTATCAACTAAAAGCGCTCTTGCTGATGCTTCAGATCTCGCCGCTTGCAGCTCAGAAGTTCTTTTGGCCAATTCTTCTTCAAGACCTGCCATTTGTTGGTTCAAAAGAACTCTTTCTTGTTCTAATCGTTTTTCTCTATAAGAATTTATTACATATTATTCTAAACTTAAGTTGCACAAAACTGGCGTTACCAATATGTGATATATATGTATATGTTATTAACAGAAAATTAATAAAATTTTGTGTGTTTAACTTACTTGAAGTCCAAGATCATTTCTCGACTACGAATTTCTTCTGTTTCAGTTAAAGCTTGACATTTGCTTGCAATAGCAGCTTGAAGCTGAGTGCTCAAAGAAGATAATTCAGCACGTAATCTTTCAGTTTCAGTGTCTCGTCTTTCAACTTGCATTTGCAATGCATTAGCTTCATCCGTAACTGTATCTCTTTGTCTGCGTAGTTCACCATTTTCTTTCTCCAACCTATAGATTTATATTAGTAAAAGAGCATATAAACATATTAATGTAAGGGCCTAAACACAATAGAGAAAATATTAGAAATAATTAGAAAAAGAAGTTAAATACTATACAACAAAAAATAAAATATAACATATAAATACAGAAAGTATGTCATAGCTGCATGATATAGAGTCAATATTTATATACATTTATATGTTATATTTTATTTTTTTGCCATTGTGCATTATTGAACATCTGTCTCTATTCTTAATATTTTTTCTACTGTGCTCAGACCTTACTGCTTCATATTTTTAATAGAATAATAATTTTATATCAAAAATATTTTTAGATTTATGTTCAAGTTATACGTATATATATACAATATGTAATTGTAAGGAACTATATAAGATATATATATACAGGGTGTCCCAGAATTGGTTTAACATCTCTCGTAGGCAGGTAGAAGGAATAAAACTGAGTCGAAAAGTCCTATACCATTTTGCTAGATTCGCAATAGTTACTGAGATTTTAATTAACAAAGATCCGCGAATAAGCATGCATCGGGCTG